TGAGAATTTTAGCACACTAACGACTAACGCTCAGCCAGTACGGTCTGCTGCACGTACTCCTACGTTATTTGTTGCGGGGAGTGTTAGAATAGTGTGGACTTTCTCGGCTTGTAATGCCCGGTAATACCTTGTAATACCCTGTAATACCCTGTAATACCTTGTAATACCCTGTAATACCTGGTAATACCCTGTAATACCTGGTAATACTCTGTAATACCCGGTAATACCTTGTAATCAGCGTAATACGCGTAATACGGAGTAGTCTGTACACGAAAATGCCGAGATAAAACCCCCTCGTGCAGAACTGATCCTAGACAATGACACGCGCCCTGCCCGGCACAGCGACTACAATGAGTGTCCGAAACGCGATGGTATCTCCTCGTGTGTCCCATTGCAAAACAAACGCAGAGGCACCGCCGGTGGCGCCCGCCTACAAGGCCATGACCGTTGCGGCAAAAGGGTCTATGGAAATGAGAGGGGCGACCCAATGCGCCGCGCAATGTCAGCGGCGGGGCGCGCGCGCGACGCGGGAAACTTTGAAAATAATGGCGTAAAGTGTGTCGTCCCGAGGAGGCGGCCGGCGGCGCCACCCCGCAGCGGTGGGGCCGGATGTGGAAGCGAAGCGCAAGACGCCCAACCTCGTTTGCGTCGGAGTTTGTTGCTCTCGTCTCCCGCGAGGCGCGATGGCGAGGCGTTCGAGAGCGAGAGAGAGAGACAGTGCCATCCGCGACCGGTCCGGCCGGAAGCCGTACGTTTCGACTCACCTTGCAGACGAGCTGCTCCCTCGTGTGGACGTCGACGCAGTTGAAGAACGAGCTGCCCTCTACCTTGTCCAGCAGGACGTACTTGTTGGCGACGAAGGTGATGGGCGCGATGCGGGGCGACGCGTCCACGCCGCCGGCAGCCGCCCCGGCCCCGGGGCAGGGCGGCATGGACAGGTGCTCGGCGCCGCCGGCGGGGCTCAGAGAGGGGCTGGCCGGGCCGGGCCCCGCGGGGGGCACGGCCGCGAACGAGGGCAGGGGCAGGTTTTTGAACAGTCCGAGGCCGGGCGGGCCAAAGGCGGGGCCGAAGGCAGAGCCGAAAGCAGAGCCGAAGGCCGCCTCGCGGGGCACCGACGGAGGCGGGGCGGGGCCGTCCGCGCCCTCCGGCACCTCGGGGCACTCGGAGCCCTCGGCCTCCAGGGGCGCGTCCGCCCGGGCCGAGGGGTCATGGTCCTTGGTCCTAAACAGCAGCTGGGACACTTCATCGGAACTGCTGCTCGTATCCTCTTGCATTGAAACTACAACTTCACTGGCACTTCACAGGCACACGCGGAATTATTTTTTATAAAAGTAGAAAAGACGGTTTGTTTTTCTCCGTGTCGAGAGAGACGAGAAAATACTTTTGGGTTTAACGCGGTAACTAATACATTTCACTGCAGTATCACTGGTTTCCACACTCACAAACACACGCGGTTCATACGATAAAATTAACTATAATGGCTCGGATTCTTGGTGTTGAGTCGCTTGTTGTCATCGGCACGTTAATCCAAAATGGTCCGGTCGTCTTGTGGGTGGTGCGTTAAATCCAAAACGGCCTCTTCTCGCTGGCTGGCTAGGGGACACCGGTCGGTGGTTGCTCGACCTGCGGACAAGCGGACGACACAGACTTGGAATGAGAGTGCACCGGGACCGGTCACCGAACGTCCGTTGGGACAGACACAGAGAAAGACAATGACGCAACTATTTCAAAAGTCGCGCGCGCTTTTCACAGAGGACGGAACAGCTGTTGGTTGGGTGCCTCCCCCCCTCCTCCCCACTATCTC